GTGCCCACAGAAGCCAGCACCTCTGTCTAAGACCCCACTGTGCCCACAGAAGCCAGCACCTCTGTCAGAGGCCCCACTGTGCCCACGGAAGCCAGCTCCTCTGTCAGAGGTCCCTGAAATCAGATTTCATCCTTTGGGCAGGGATCGGTGCTGATGTAAGAGTTTAAAGAAAGGGGGCCCCAGTACAATCTGCTCTCAGCATCGTGCCTTATCCATGGGATTATTACATCAGGAGAAGATAGCCTTGTAACAGGAGACCCCAAGACCCCATACCCTGAATTACCCTGCCCCTGGGATATTCTCCAGCTGATGGGATAGTACTGGCTATGGGGGGAAGTAGATAAAAAAAATTAAAAAAAACAAAGACAATACAGTGTAGCACTGAATTAAATCTGCTGTTAGGTCCACCAACCCGATCTTCTCATGGGAGAAACTTTAAGCCACTGGAGAGCCCACCTTGTCTAGACGGTGTTGAGGACACCAGGAGACCATGTCGCCCTACCCTAGCCATGTAAGCCTGCATGCACTCGCTGCTGCCCTAGGCCTCAGCACTGAAGTGGCTTCAGGCGTCCCCAACCCTACCTGTCGATGTTTTCACCTGGTCACGGCTGTTTTTCTAGCAGTGTGGCGGTCATGGGGTGTAGGATGTGAGCGTGAGGAGAAAGGCTTGGATCCTGTCCAGAGTCAGTTCTCCTTTGCCCTGCTCCCTCTCTTAAGTCTACTGTATCCTCGGAGCTAAGAAGTGGTGTATCCACGCTCGTGCACGCATCTGAAGACATTTCCTGTTCGGACTCTCCAGGGCTCTTCTGATTTATGCACAGATGGTTTCCAGCATTTCCACTGCTCCAGGATGGGGCCATCCCAGCAGCTAATCAGACTTCCTGCCGGTGTCCTAACTCCTGGCCCTTTGTTAAGCAATATTGACAGATTGGACTTTGTATAAAGTAGCTTCCAAGTTTTATAATGCATCATTTTACATCTTTCGTAATTAAAAACAGCACAATATGGTTGTATCTGCTCTCCCTGTTTCTCTTCAACCTTGGGTGTCCCGGCTTGGTGGGCAACTTCACTGGCTGCCTCTGCCTACTTTGCTGGCACTCCCTGATTTCTGAACATTGGCTGGGTCCTTCACCAACCCACCTACTGCACTGTCTCATTACAAATGCAAGGTGCACAGTCCCTTTGAGACTGGGTAAGAAGGACAGGGCACCCTGGATGCTGTCTTCTGCCTCCTCCTCCTCCTGCCTCCACCGAAGGCCCCGCCTGCTCCTTACCCGGCTGCTGTCCTGGACCAGCCTTGATCATCTTCCCAATACCTTCTGCCCTGGTCATAAGCCTCTTCTCCTTCAGGGAGGCACCCTCCGTCAGCTACACTGAGCACTGTTTGAGGGTGACTCCTGAGAGCTTCCACAGAAATCTCACCTCTGGGCAGTACGTTCAGAGTCCTGCATCTCAGCTCTGGCCCACACACCTTGTTCTTGGACCCACCATGAATTCCACCCTTCTCTCAGCACACTTGGCCTCTTCAGGCTCCCTTTCCCTCCCTCCCGACTTGGTCCTCAGGGTTAGCAGCCTCCAGGATGCCCTCAGGAAGCTCCTTTTTCTCTGACTCCCCACACCTGGCCTTTGACCTTCAGAAACTCAGCAAGCCCACCCTGCCATTATCCCAATCTTTGGCTCTCCTCAGGGCCCTCGGTCGACCCTGCCTTTGCTCTTGTCCAGCCACCCCACACAGTCAGCCCCAGCTCTTTCCTTCCTCTGCTGTTCCCTATTTCATCCTTTCTCCCCTCAGCCTGCCCAACTCTCTCACTGCCTTGTCTCCCCTCCCCCACTCATGCCTCCCCCTAACCTGGGTTTCATTTTTCATGTGTCATTTCTCTGCTCTTCCTCTAAGAACTGCCCCCACCCTCAGCCTGTGCATCTGCCTCAGTCTCCTTCCTAAAATAGAAAACCTTTCTTCAAGCCCCACTTCTCCTCAGACCACAGGCTGTCTCCTTCCTTTCCCCCACCAAGGCAGCTCAACACAGCCACTGCCTCCCACAGGGGTGCTGCAAACCCCCTCGGCCTGTGCACACTGCCCTTCTGGCCTCAGGTTAGGTCCTGCTGACCTTTCCCCACACTGAAGCCCTCGCTGGACCACACCCCTTCCCTCAAACCCTCTCTACCTCCAGTAAACCTTTCCTTGTCCATTTTGTTTTGTTTTGGGTTTTTGTTTGTTTGTTTGTTTTCAAGACAGGGTCTCTCTGTAGCTTTGGGGCCTGACCTGGAGCTAACTCTTATAGACCAGGCTGGCCTCAAACTCACAGAGATCCACCTGCCTCTGCCACCTGAGTACTGGGATTAAAGACGTGCGCCACCACTTCCTTGTTCTACACTCAGGTCCTAGGTCACCCATGACCCTCGCCACTGCCCCAGGCTCCATGATCCACTTCCTCCAAGCTGATGGCCCTTCCCCCATCCTCCTCTTATCCCCCCACCCCCGCTCACCTGTCCTCTCATCCACATACTGCCCCATCTTTCTGCTGCTTGACCGTTGGAAATCTGTGTGTGAGAAAGCACCTCACCTGCCTTCCGTACCCACCTTCCCTCAGAGTTCAGAGTCCTGGAGAGCAGGGGTCGTGGCTGTTGATGATTGCACATCCCCGTGTCTGGCGTAAAGTCAGGGCTCAGTCAGGACCTCCCGGCTGCTGAGCCCTCTCTGGTCACAGCTGCCACTCCAGTCCTGGAGAGCAGGGGTCGTGGCTGTTGATGATTGCACATCCCCGTGCCTGGCGTAAAGTCGGGGCTCAGTCAGGACCTCCCGGCTGCTGAGCCCTCTCTCTCTCTGGTCACAGCTGCCACTCCTCTGCTCAAGCTGCAGCACCAACCATTCACTCCACTCTCCTCAGTCCAGCCTGAGCCCCCCGTGAACCACTCAGAGCTCCTTCTCTGACCCCCTTCTCACCTCCTGCCTCACCCAGCAGCCTCTGTCTGCACTCAGCAGAGGGGTTTGAGAATTTCATACATGTACGCATTGTGTATTGCTTCTATAACACCCCGCTTCCCTTTCAACTCCTCCCAGGCCCCACCACCACCTCTCCCTCCCAATGTCACGTCCTCTTTTCATAGCCCATGGAGTCCAGTAGGTGCTGTCCTTACCTGCATAGGTGTAGGGTCAGCCATCGGGACATGGGCATCCTACCGGGGCCACATCCCCTCAGAGTGACAGATTTTATTTCATCTCTCTGTACCTCTAAAATGAAACAAACACCACCATTTATGACACCGGGGTGCTTGGAATGAACACACACAGTTCAAGAACTTAGGAGTAATCTCTCAGTCAGTGTGAGCTTCTAGTAGAGACAGAGTCTAACTGTGCAGCCCTGGCAGGCCTAGAGTTCACAGAGATCTGCCTTTGCCTGTCTCCAGCACTGGAATACTGGAATTAAAGTCACGCACCTCCTCACCTGGTAGTCGTGTCCTTTCTCTCTCTCTCTCTCTCTCTCTCTCTCTCTCTCTCTCTCTCTCTCTCTCTTTCTATAAGACAGGGTTTCTCTGTGTAGTTTTGGAACCTGTCCTAGAATTTGCTCTGTACACCAGACTGGCCCCGAACTCCCAGAGATCTACCTGTCTCTGCCTCCCGAGTGCTGGGATTAAAGACCTGCACCACCACTACCTGACTCAACGTCATTCTTTCTATTGGTTACAGGAATCGGTCCCTTTAAGGACAGTGTGTACTGATGCCTAAGAACACTGGGTTTGTACAACGCTTGTTTTGGAATCCCAAATATTAGCACTGGCGGATTGCTCCAAACGGACTTCACTGTGGGCTGATATGCAGCTATGGAAAGTAAGGTCGGCAGTAAGGGCTTAGAGGTGGCTGTGTCCCCATGTGGACGCTAGATGGAGCTGAGGCTCCGAGTAGTTCCCAGGACCCGGAAGCAGCCAGAGAGCCACTTGATCCCCCTAGGTCTCTAAGGAATCTCTGATGACAGAGGGTCACTAGCTCCTAAACGAGCACTGCAGACTGTCAGACAGTGCACATCACAAGTCCCTTCCAGCCACCTAAGAGCAATGCAGGGTAAGGTGACTTTTGCACTTTACAGAGAGGCTCAGGGTCACTAGCTACAAGGCCCTGAACTGAGGGAGACTGACTCCAAGGGTCTCTTTGTCTCTGTACTTGTCGTGGCACCAGATACCCAAGACTTGAAGGCAAATCAAGCCTGAGACTGGGAAGACCGGTGCACACATGTAAACCCAACACTGGGGAGGTGGAGCAGGGGTTCAGGACCAACCCCCAGATGTATAACAAGACTGCAGCCAGCCTGGGCTACATGATACCCTGTCTCAGAAACATACACACGCATGCACACACACATGAGGGCTGGAGAGAAGACTTGGTGGTTGAGAGTAATGACTGCCCTTCTAGAGGACTCGGCATCCACGTGGGTGCTCACAACCATCTGTAACTCCAGTTCCAGGGGATCCCTTCTCTGACCTCTGTAGGCACTAGATGCATGTATTGCACAGACATGCATGTAAGAAAAATACGCAGGGCTGAAGAAATGGCTCTGTGGTTAAGAACACTGGCTGTTCTTCCAGAGGACCTGAATTCAATTCCCAGCACCCACAAAGCAGCTCACAGCTGTCTGTAACTCCAGTTCCAGATCTGCCATTATCATACAGACATGCATGCAGGCAAAACACCAATACGTATAGAATAAAGATAAATAGTTTTTTAACAAAAAAAAGAAAGAAAGAAAGAAAGAAAGAAAAGAAAGAAAGAAAAAGAAAAATACCCATAGCCATAAAATAAAAAATAAATTTGTAGGGCCGGGCATGATAGTGCACACCTTTTATCCCAGCCAGCACTCGTGAGCCGAGAGAGGTGGATTTCTGTGATTTCAAGGCCAGCCTGTTTACAAAGTGAGTTCCAGGATAGCCAAGGCTGTTATGTAGAAAAACCCTGATTTGGAAAAACACAAAAACAAACAAAAAATATGTT